AATAATAATAATAATAATTTGTTCAGTATCTATTCATGTCTATTCATTGACATGGTTTAGCATTACATTATGCTATCCGCAGAAGAATGAGAATGAAAGTTGTTATAATGATTATATAGGCGAGTTACAAATGATTGACATGTAATATAATTTTAATTCTCATTGCAATCATTTCTTAACCAATCAAATCGCTTGTTTGAGATCTACAAGTGAATTCACGAACTTCGAACTTCGACGTATAAACGGTTTACATCAATCGATTGTAATTATCTCAAAATGGAATGTTTTTCAAGGTATTTCTTGTAAAAAAATATCAAGAATTTATAAGCAAAACTATAAAGATTAAAAGCAGTTATCGGCTATAAATAGTGGTTAATCTCCATATTGCTGTTGAAAGTGCAGCCAGCAAACATGCCATGAGGCCTTTCTTCGTTGGATTATTGAGGAGAATTTCTCAACTTAACTGTGCTTGTTAATGATGAATTTCTCGAGTAGAGAGGCTGGAGAGTACTACTGATTCTTTCGCCAACAGCTGACGACAGATCATCACTGCATTCTCTCAGCAGGAGCGAGGAAGTTAGGCTATGGTAACTTTTTAAAAAAGATTCTGAAGGATGGCCTGAGATCACCATTATTTGACCACAATGTTATTGCAGTGTCTCGGACTGAATAATTGGTGTAACTTTTCGAGGGAAGTGCTCCCTCACTTATGGTTGACATCATCTTTGAAAGCTTGTTTAGACTGAGGGAGGGTTGACTTTTGACAAGTAAAACTTAAATGAAGAATATTCGTCTGTTGGAATTTCTGTTTTGWACATCCTACTCTTCCTCGTCGCCATATTTTAAAAACTTAAAACTGCTTATTGTCAAGCTTCTCTGTCCTTATCTTCATCGTCTGCACCAATAAAGGGAGACATGGAACCAGACGTTGTTTAGGAGTGTCTGAGGATGGGAAGGTAGGAGTACGTTGCTGTTTTTTTTAAGTTTTTGCATGTCTTATTGCTTTATAGGGCCGGAGGCTTATTAGCTGTGTTTTCTTTAATTTGGCATCCAATTTGAGCTGTTTTATGCTGGCATCCAAGACTTTATTTGAAAGCGCAAAGCAAGGATCTTTGTTTAACATGATAGGGCGGTTATGGGGAGGGCTTGTTAGGTGTCTCTCGAACCATTTCTCAAAGAAAGAAGTGATTTTCGACTATAGGATTCGCCATTTTGATTTCTTGTTTAGGAATAAAATTAGTGGACTATCTCTCAAGTGCTTCGTAGGACATCACTTCAAGGGAAGTCTTTTAAGAAAAAAAAAATACCTATTTCTTTGCTCCAGCAGTGTTTACAAAATAATAAATTACGACAGTATTCTGCGAAAGTATAACAACAATTTGTTTGTTTACATAGTTTTGATGTTTACTCGGGCTACCTTAAGAAGGTTAAATTTGTAACTATTTGGCCATGTTTTCATGCGATAAAATTAAAATATACTATGCACTACAATTATCTATCTTGAAGAGACTAGCTAACCTTTAAAAACAGAGAAGGCCCATTTAGTGTTTGCTTTTGTCTTGCTCAGGCATTGTCCAGAAGATTGTCGATTTCTTCCGCTGCAACTTTCGCAAATCTCGGCTTTTTCGGCGCAACACTKTCGTGGAGTTTCTCGCTTTCTTTTTCACCCTCAACTACTACTTATAGACACCATTAAGTATTCCATCGTCACTTTCACGAAAGCAGTCGTCAAAATTAAACAAAAGTAATTGATTTTTATCTCCTGCCGCCATTTTATAAATAGCGACAAGACGGTGACAGCACTTTCCTTCCCATACGTGATTCCCCTAAAAAATAGATCACGGCTCTCGGCCAATCATAGCACGCGTACTACTATTAGAGATATATTTTATAATATGAACTAATTAACTAAGTGATAATATGACAGCTGCAGTTTAAAAGACGTTTTCATATGTTTGACTTGAACATTAAGTTCCGATTTTAAATTGTTAGTATAAAAGGCTTCTTTAAGTTTAAGGAGTATTTTAGATTTTGCASTGTCTAGGATTTTAAAACAAACCAAAGAGTGTTTATCACTATGACATTTAGATTTCATAAGGAGTATAAAGATGTGAGAGTTTTTATCAGAAACAGTATGTTCTTTAACCCTGGTAGAAAATGCCGAGAAGTCTCTCCGATACAACGAGATTGACATCCCCCACAAGTAAATTGGTAGACTASACAAGATTGCACGAGACTATCTGGAATGGCATCTTTAAAACGAAAAAGTGATGCAAAAACGTGTTTAAGGTTAAATTCCGGACAAAAGTGTCTATACAGTTTAACAAAGTTAATCGTATTTTTGATAGTTTTATCTCTGGTGCTATTACTACGAAAATAATGAGAATTTAAAGATGAATTTCATGCAAGATTCTGAAATGTCAGTCAACTATTTCAGGTTTTCTAAAGCCTTCTTGAAGCCGGAAGATCTACACTACACCTACATTGCCTTCACCAGTTTTCAGGTCATTCTCTCTCAAATTGTCCCTCGTATATTCTCTCTCAAAAGTCTGATGGAACGAAGTTATATATCGTTAAAAAGCACATCTTCATCGTTCTGTCAAAGTTTGAAGAATGTTGATTTCTATAATTTGGCTTGAATAACGTTGGTCAATGCTTAAAGATTGTGTCATCTTAAAAAAACAGAACCATGAAAGGAATASTGCCATGCAAATATGTTTGGTGCTGGTTCATAGAATTAATTTGTTTCCACGCTAGATTGGAAAATTTGCTACTGACAAAACCTAGTCAAACTAAAACTGTATGCCTACAGCTAAGTATAAGTTCTAAAGATTTCTTACCTTTGTGCTGTATGGTCATCCCAGTCCGTTGCACTAAACGAAGACTAACAATGCTTTTCGCAAAGTAGCCGCCATTTTGGTCATCGTGTATGCACTTTTCGGCTACGTCTTGACTTTCAAAACTAGCTTCATTAGTGACAGCCTTAAATGCCTGTAATTCCTCCCTTGTTGGCTGTACACTTGCACCTTCGTCAGGAGGAGATGTAATTCCAAGTTTTGTGAGTATTTGACCTCGAACTGCCTGAATTCTGCTTGCTTTTAGATCCCTTGGCTTGCCATGGACAAAGACTATCTCCAGTTCTTGACATATGGCTAGGAGAAAGAAAGCTCTTAAAAACCAAGCAATGAAAAACATTTTGAGATGAGTTCTTGAATTGAGTTCCTGCTTTCGCGCTTCCATTTTATGMAGTGAAACTGCAGTAATTTCTTATCTTATCTTATGTTAAGTGCCAGTCATTCGCGTCAAGTCTGCTCTGTGTTTTGGGTTGGGTCTGTCGGAGAGTGTGGGACAAAAGCTTTTGGAGCTTTTGTTCTAACGAACACCAATTATGTTCCATTGCTTCTAAGAGGCAACAAGTTTGGATTTAAAGTTGTGACAACTTGAAGTTTCAGACCATTTGCTTCATATTTTGAGTGATTTATGACTTTTCTTACCCTACGTCSTAGGTACCACACAAGTGCGTTACAACCCCGATCGTTCAAGCATCAGATTTCGGTKATATCGTTGAGATACGAACTAAGGGTTTTCGTACTCAAAGAGTTAAAGTTTTGAAWTGAGATTTGGTTTGTAGAAGAAKTTAWTATCGGGCAAAGACAATCTGAAGGAATTTTAGCAAATTCAGGCAAGCTAGAAACAAATTTCTTACGACAACTGAGATTCTGAGGTCTGGTTACTCTGCTACCTTCCCTTATTCTATACCTAACCCAAGGGGAAAGACAGATATAAACCACTCAAAATTTAAGGAAATGGCTTGAATCTTCACAGAAATATAAAGAAAAACACAACACAACACATCAAAAAACACAAATTGTTAAAAACCACACAAAGGCTTGGGTTACCTATGAAAAAAATGGATCCTCATCATAAAAAAAGAAAAGATACCCTTTTTTAATTTGTCACGACCCTGATCTCAACCGTCGTATCTGAAGGAATTCCTCAATTTCACCGGTAAATAAATACTTATTACCGGTGAAGGTCATCATCGTCTCGTAGTATAATTAAACGTTGAACTTTGGGCAAGATGTGATATGGGGGAAACTTTTTTTCATTTGGGTTTTCCATCCCSGGAACTCTGATTATATTAATGCCACAGTTGACAGCTACGACGGTTGTCAGCGCTGTGTATAAGACTGCATGGACTGAGTCCAGTTCAATATGTTCAATTTAGGCCGTGTTTACATATATGCAACTCCTCTTAATTAATCAAAATGAAATAATTAAATACGGGATTTGGTTTAGACATCGAATTTTTTTCAACCAACACCAACAGTAATTTAGTATCAAAACAGCCAGAATTCACCTTTCTTTATGYTAAAAGCACTGATATTTTTTTACTGTTAAATACCTTTGAGAGGACCACGACTGTGGGCATGTATGATAGAAAGTAGCATGATTTTATGCTAGAAACCAAAATGAAAGGTTCCAAATGTCAACATTTTCATTGACCGACAGAAAATGACGATCAGTGGCTTTTTATATTTTTACTCCTCGGATTTGGCGCTAATCTCAAACTTCAGATTTGGAATAATCTTTTCATGAAAGAATTTCAAAGATAAGCGATGAGAGTAGTACGATAGCTTACATGACTAGCGCTAGAGTAGTTAAGTGTGTTTAGGTGTTTTAAGCAAATATTCACAGAGGCTCTTTTCAAAAAAAAGCAACGGGGGCGGATATTACAGCAAGTGGGTGCCCCTCTCAGAGATCTGGTATATCTCCATGCAGCAAGAAACATGCAATTTTTCTTATAAGCATTTTTGCAAATTCWTCTAAGCAGGAGGGAGGGGAAAACTCCYTGTTTCTCCCTAGAAGCGCGCCTGTATACAACGCCATGTCCTAATATGACGTCCCGCGTACTCCCTAGCGTTTATAAAGTATTTTTATTAGCCAAACATTTATGATATAGAGTTGATTTTGTTTGAAAATTTTTCCTCTTACATTTTTTTAATTTCTCATTGGAAAAATAGGACATCATGCCACTTAAGACTTGTTCTTTTTATTTCTGTGATTGTTATCTAATTGTAGAATATTTTTGAGGTAATAAAAAATAAACAAACAGTTGGCGCCATCTCATCGTCAAAACTGCTGTTTTTCCACAACAATATTTTCATGAACTTCGTGAACTGCAATTCTGACGATTCGATGACGCCAAACGTGATAAATAAGAGGACATACCACGCGAGAAACGATCATGGATTTGTTAAACATACTAGATAAATCCATGTAAACTGTAATAAACGCAGATCCTCGACCGAAGGGAAGCTATTTGCATCAGCCAATTGTAAATGGCATCTGCCCGCTGGTTGACACTATCGAAAGGGCCAATGCAAGCGGCATTTTACATCGAGGGTTTGTTTCCTGTTTTGCAAAGTTAAAGTTCTACAATTAATGTTCTATGAAGGTGGTTTGCGGGTCTAATTTGTTCTTCCTTCCAAATTCTTAAATACAATAGCGTTAATAAGGAACGATTCTTGCCACCACAAGCAAAATTTAAAAAGTTCTTTGGCAAAGCAACTGATTCCTCGGAAAAACTTACAGTTTGATTTTTTCGACTMTCAATATATGTTTATTTTCGTTTCAGGAAAAATTACATTGACACACAACTAACTGTTTCCTTCTGCCTGACCGTTACTAAGGGCATATCCTTTCCTAAACGCAATCTATTCTTTGTTATCGAATTGCTCAGACAATTCCATGCTTGAGCCATGGGTCAAGATTATTTGTTATTTTTGTCAGTTTTTCTTCTGATTATGATCAGGTGATTACAGAATTCTTAGTAATTCGACTCAATTCATGTATTTGACCGCATAGCCTCTCGACCGTATTGATAGTTCCATGGCGTTTTMAAGTCTATTTAAAGCCTTAAAAAAATCTTATTTTGGAATCTTCGGCCGTCAAGGTTGAGATCACTGCCTGAAAGTCCTGAAAGAGGAAACATGGTATCCAATGTCAAAACATGAACGTTTCCCTGTTGTATGTCATAATTTATCTTTCGAACAATTTTTTTCTMCAAGACTATTTTAGCATCATCATTACATGTACAAGGTATCCCATGCATCTTCTTGGTCGTAGCTTCCATGATTTATACTAGATAAACAGCCACTAATTAAGATACATAGTTAGCCCACTGATTGTACAATTKTTTACTTGAAACACTTTCTACAATGCACAAATAGCGGTTTATATACAAGGAAGATCTCTATTATAAACTTCTTYTAAAAGCTTTCTAGCCTTCCTAGCTTCATGAGCATGCGCATGAGTCAATGATATGGATTATCTTGCTTGGCACTGTTTTGAGTTCTAGTCTTCTTGTTTTCTCAGCATAGCAGCCTTTAGKTCTGCCATCGGAGTGGATGACACACATTCGCTTTTGCTTGCTCTGGTCGGATAATTTCGACCTACAAAGACAATACATCTATAACTTTTTTTTGCAAATCATTACGCTTTTATCAAATTGCATTGTTTAAAAAAACTAGGAAGATTAAAATAAAATACCCTTTGATAAATTGGGAATTATACAACGGAAAAATATTGGAGAATACGTGATGACATTTACAAGGGCAGCATTCCCGAGTGGTCAGAGGGCATTGATATCGTAATCTGGCGTTCCCAGGTTCAATTCTTGATCACTAGCTGAGACTCAATTAGTTCCGGTTTCGAACAGTTCAAATTTCGTTTCTCGACAATGCTTGTAATATAGTCAGCTAGTTGGCCTCCACAGTARTTGTGATTCTTATCAACTTTATGTTGTTTATGATTTGTGTCCTTGAGTTTATTTGATTAGGCGCATCGTAATTGATTTTTTGTTATTATTATGACGTTTCTGACAGTGTTTTTTTTTGTCACCGATAAACTGGTCAACGCACTAACTTTAAAGTGCACATACAATAAGATCCGAAGATAGATGTTTTTTCAGTTTTTGCCATTTTATGCTATAAATAATACCATAAATAATACCATTGAATAGTTGTAAGAGGGAACTAATCGTTCAGATGAGTAATGTAATTAGAGTTCAGTAATTTTATCGCGGACAACAATTTATATCGCTATCTAGTATCCGACGCAATGTAGCCTGTAGCTCCGTTTTCCCCCTTCCCCCTCCCCTAGACGCAATGTAGCGGCCGGTTTGCAATAAAAACACCCTCGCACATGTCATTTGATTGTTGTCATGTTGTCACTATTTTACAATTCTTCTCTCTACTGAAAGGCAAATATTTTGACATTGTAGTGTATCCGCTCTGATACATTTACAGTAAGTTAAACGGCGATTCAAAATAAGTTTCGAGATCGGTAAATTATCACAGTATAAGTTTAAATAAAAAAAACCCTGTAAAATAARTTAATAAMSKWAAARGGSYTWWTWARRAMYKTWAAAMACAGCTCAAATTCAATGTTTGGTTTTCATCGTACCCGCACTTTAATGCCTTTCCATGTTGGGTATAGAATAAATGCTAGTATTCTTCTTAAAATGTAAATATATACCACAATAACAACAACAATAACAAACATGCATGCCTAAAGAAACGAATTCATGACGAAGAAATGAATGAAATATGTCTCTGAGATTTCCTTCACCTACCAATATAGACACTGTCCTCTCAYTTTTCCAGGACAGGAAGCCCTTCCAGAACACATACCAACATCAATGACCTTCATTAAAGGCAAAAATCAATCATTCGTTACATATGTAATATACCTAGTCCTTAGATGAAACTCAGTCATATACACAAGACATACAAAGGGAGGTCTCGTATATATGAGCTGATCATTCTTTTTGAATAAATCTTTTACCTAAAATTCGACGAGGTATATCCGATGCTGTCATTTCTTCATTTGGGAACCCCGACCCAACCGACATATTTCTCATCCACTCCTGATATAGACAAATTCTACTTTTTTTTTCAATTTCACAAAATCTTTTATATAGCGCTCCGCATTGCCTTCATTATCTTCGGCAAAAATGTAACGCTCTCCACTATTCCCCGCTCTGCAAGGTTGCACACACGTTCCTGTCCTATTATTATATCGATTTCAGAGCATTTCATCGACAAAGCAACATCGCAAAAAGGGAGGGGAGGGGAGGGAGGGAGAGAGGGAGGAAGGGAGGAAGGGAGGAAGGGAGGAAGGGAGG